TTGAGACTCTTCAGCTTTTGGGTTCTAGGACTTACACCAAGGACACCATTGATCTCCCTGGTTCTGAGGCCTTTAGACTTGGACTAAGCCACGCTACTGGATCCAGTTTGCAGACGGGCTATAGTGGAACTTTCTTCACAATCGCGTGAGCTAATTCCCCTAATAAATCCCCTCTCATATATTTATAACATATCCTATCAATTCTGTCTCTCTGGAGAACCTCAACTAATACACTAATTTATTTTAAAAATCTTCTTTACACTTGGCCAAGAGAAGCAGGCATACTGCTTTCTGGAAGCTGGTGCTGCAATAAGAGGGAAAGGACTTTTTCTATAGTGAACTTTTTTTTTTTTTCCTTTTTGTCTTTTTTTACTGACCGGTAACGGGATCACAACCCTCGGTGTTGTGCCTGCACCGCGCTCAGCCAGTGAGCGGGAACCGGTCTCCACATGGGATCCCAACCCTCGGCGGGAGCGCCGCCGCACTCCCAAGCGGCGCACTCTCCAATGCGCCACCGGGTCGGCCCGTATAGTGAACTTCTGATGTATAATCGATAAGAAAATTACAAAGGATAGTGATAGATATGACACCATGCTCTGCAGTTCACAGTTCGGATGAATTTAAGAGCAAGTGTAGGAGAAACCAACAGAAACACAGCGCATACAGTAAGAATTCTGGAAATTCCACTCATCATTACTCATTTCTGCATTTTTCATAAAGGGACAAACACATCATTTTGAGATATTCCCAGGCACACAGGAGTACTACCAGTGAGCCTGTCTACTTCAAATGGTTAAAATTATTCAGGGCTGGGAGGGAGGGGTTTCTCATTTGAATTGCTTCAGAGTATGGTAGAGACAATTGGATGAGTATAGTTTTATAAACGTCTCAATCATTACTTCAAAATATGTTCATTCTAAGCAATAAAGTGACTTTCAAATTCAAGGGCCATAAGTGCCTAAGGGATGTCCCAGACCCTTTTCTACTTGGGTGGGTCCGTGGGACCAGCATCAGAAATCCACAATTTCCTACTACCTAGCACTCCTTCTGGACCTCAGGCAGTGGGGGCAGATCCCATCCCAGGATGGTGAGCCTGCTCTGACCTGCCAGAGCACTTCCCAAGAGCAGGGTGGGAGAGGGTACAGAGACAGGGGGCTCTCTGTGACTGGAGAGCAGGCTGTGATGGCAATGGCATTGTGTAAGTCACACATAGAGTGGAGCAGGGGACTCTAAGAATGGCATAGCACAGGAAAGGCCAAGAAATGATTGTACGAGACCCAACACTGAGCCCTCCAGGAAATTCTAGTCAAGCAGTGAGGCTGTACAGAAAGGAATCCCAAACACTGAGACAGGAAGGAACCCATCCATGAAGTGTAGTGAGGGCCCACACTAGCCATGCCTCCTGACACTTACACCTGTTGCAGGGGGTAGAGTTCAGTTGGCTCCCCTGCCCTTAAGGCCACCAAGTGAGGAGAAATCCCACAGGATGTTTCATTGTCCACCAGCCAGGACGGACTGTTTCCCATCACCACACAATTGTTTTTAATGGGTTCGTTGATCTGTTTGATGTTATGTCACCAGCAATTTAACATTTGTAGCAGTCTCTTCCCAAACGTGTTGACACTTAGGTTATTTTTGAGTGATCCCTCCTCTAAACATGGGCATGGTCTGTGGGACTTTTTACAGATGATGTCCCAGTCTGCAAATTGTGCTGGCACACGGACCATACCTCTACCCATAAGTGCAGGCCCCAGAGCCTTTTTGCCAAAGTTCTAAATGATCAGCATGGGATTCACATACACAGAGAAGCGCAGTCCCACAGCATCGACACAAAGGGGCCAGGAAATATTGGAAATATTGGTGACCTAAGAGACAGGAGCTTTATGCTTCAATCCCAATTCTGCCACTTACTGTGTGACATTGAGATTATTTTCACCTCTCTGAGCCTCAGTTTTTTCACTGATTAAATGAAGAGAGGCATATGTCCCTCACAGGATTGCTAGGAAGATGAAATGAGGAAACATCTGGAAAAGCCCTTGGCCCACAGCAGTTGCTCAAGAAAGGTTATGTAATCTCTTTTGGGACATTTTATGTATGTTTTATACGTAGTACGATGAATCTTCAAAAAGTTTACGGAAAGATTCATATTATCTTTTAATTCAATTTTTCCACAAACTTTTTGAAGCACCCTTGTATGTATATAAACTTATCTCCCCTTATTAGAAGGTGGGAAACTTTAGAATAATTCCAAAGGCATCGGGTTTCGTTTTTTTAGAACCCCTTTCTTCCCCTTTTTTTCCATCATTCCAGCCCAGACAACATGCTACTGGAGAGCACAGATGCACTGGTGTCCCCCAGCTTTCTTTCATCTTCATCTCTCCTTAGGAAATCATGAAACCAGTGAGCTGGTGCCTCATGAAAGGGCTGGTTCTTGACTGCCCCCTCATGCCTTGTCCTGCTTGTGAGGAAAAGGCCTGGGGTTAGGATAGGACCAGGTTTGGGGGATGAGATTGGCTCTTCTGAGCGACTTAGACACTATCGTCAAGCAGCCACATGGAGATGTGTAACCCAAAGAGGGTGGGCTCTGCTGTAGGTGAGCTCGGGTGGGGACTGCGCCTGGCCCCACCTGTCTACAGGATGACGCGGCCACACCTGGGAAGTGCGGGGAGTCAGGTATCCCGCTCATGCAATATGGATGCGGTAATGGAATACCGCACTTTACCCCCTGCTGATCTTACTCCTGGTCCCTCCTGGCGCCAGGGACCACAGGCTCAGCTGCAGGGACATCACTGAAGGACAGTGAGGATCCCTGTCCCCTTCTCTCAAGCCCCTGACCGCAAGGCCCTTCTCCTGGGGGCACAAAGCCATATCAAGCCAGAGGAAGAGGTAGGAACTATGGAGTGTGCCATAAGTTCCTGGGGGTTGGGGGAAAGCGGGGCTCCACAGCGAGAGGGGACAAGGAGAAGGGGCAAGAGCCAGGACAAAGACAGATGGGAAAGGGCCCATCTCCTTTTCACTGGGACCAAGGAGGATCCAGGGGCAGGGAGAGGCTGGAGAGAGAGGAGGCAGGCTTTGCGCAGCAGGCCATCTGCGGACCCAGCAACTACTTTCGGACACGTCTCCCGCCTCCTCAGCCTCTGCCCGAGGCCCCCGATCCCGCCCTTCTCCTCTCACGCTCTGTCTCCCGTCGCTTGTCTGACTTTTCTTTCCAACAAGCTGAGGCAGGAGAGGGACCGGGAGGATGAGCTTGGGGACACTGGCATTGCTCGGAGCTCTGAGAAGACTGGCCTGAGGGGGCTGGGAAAAGGTGGAAAAGCGCAAGACCCTGGCGCTGGGTGAAAAGGGCTGTCCCCAGCTCGGCCACCTCCCTGTTCGCTGGGCCCCCAGCCCACTTCTCAGGGGCGCGAAGGGGCGGCGAAGGAGGGAGTGGTGGGGGCTCCCTCGCCCTAAGTCCCCTCATGGCTCCCGATTGGGACGTTAGACC